CCAATGGCAACACCTATAACGATAACGATACCGCAGAATCAGATAACCACAACAACAACAATACCAACAATAACAATAGCACAACAGAATCTGATAATAGCATTTCAAATGAGGTGACAAACAACCAAGACGCCAACAACAACAACCAGAACAACAACAACGAGAACATTCTCCAAACCGGAAACAAAAACAACAACAACAAATTCATAATCGTTCGACCATACAACAGACAACTTAACTCATTCTACGAAGAAATCATCACCACTCTAATTCTACATGGATGCATCCAAAACCACAACGACATCCTACAAGCATACACAATCAACAAACCACTACGCCGCATACTATTTAGGCACTGAACACATAAACACACGCCCATACTTACACATCCAACATCGCACTATTAACCATCGTTAACTAATAATAAACATAGGAGCGCCGTCGAAGCAATACAGAAACAACAAGTCAACCACCAATCAACCAACTACGACAACCACCAACCATCCAGTACCAACTATCTCAACATCAACTCGGAAGCATGATGATGTACTCAATCGTATTAAGGCTGTACTATATATTTTTACTCGTTCACACACTTGAGATCCGATGTTTCAAACCTGCTGTTGATCCCAACAACGAGTCTCCGTATAGGTTCTCGTAACATTGCTGTTTCTGGGCCAACTGTTTGGAACAACCTGCCTGCTGCTCTCAGAAATCCGGACCTAAACCTGCTTGATTTCAAGAAGAAACTGAAAACTCATTTATTTTCATTGTAATGTATTATTGATCAATTCTTTCTGTTTAGTCGACATGTTCTAAATATTATTTCGTATTTTCGTTATATTGAATCGATTACTTTTCATTTTATGACCAAATTTTAATCTTATTTCTGTGCGATGTATTATGATTTCTCGTTTGTTATTTCAATTATGTTGTTAAGTTCAGTTTTTGTTAGATAGCGCTTTTGAGATTCCTTTAATTAGCGCTTCATAAATGTTTCAATAATAATATATATATATATATATATATATATATGAGCATATATATATATATATATATATATATATATGAGCATATATATATATATAAAACATTAAAAACAACTTAAATTGCCAATTCACTAAATCTCAAAGTGTTTGTCAGTCAATATCATGAAAATTGCGGGTGATTTTTATGACGCAAAATGCTTCCATGAGTAGTAACTCAATTGGCGGAACAAAAGCAGACTTGAAAATTTGGCGCAAGTAATTACTTGCACCTAAAATATTATAGCTGACCATATAAAAGCAATAACAATTAACAAATCTTCCGCATTTTTAGTTTATATAGAAAATTTATGAGTCCCCATTCATCTAAAACATCGATGAAAGCATCGAAAAAACGGTTGAAAACATCGAGAAAATTATGAATAACATTGAGAAAACGGTGAAAAACCTCAATAAAACGGTTGAAAAACAAGCTAAGAATCGATCAAGGTCAAATTAAAAAATTTACTTTACGTCACACCACATGAGTAAAAGTATGCACCAATAGAACCTATAAAACTGAAACTCTCGAATTTCCCGTGAGAATTCAAAAGAATAAGAATAATATTCATGTTGATAAAAATATGAGGACTAAGAGGAAGACAAAAATGACCAACAATATTGAGGATTTCTTGTCCAATATCGACATTTCTCAGAATTCCAATTTAAGTACTAACATTCAGTTTCTACATGCAATTCGCAACGCGAACAGTTCAGAATTTTCAGATAAAAATATGAAAAAAATTAAAATACAAGATAGCTAGACAAAACCCAGAAAGATGAGTTGAGTACCAGTATCATCTGCCATTATTGTTAATTTATAGTCATTATAGCGTTATTTGAAGGTTAAATAGACTCAGTAATCAAATTTTTCTAAAATTTTGTAAAATAAAAAACGAGAGCAAGCCATTGTTCATCTTATTTTTGATCGCTTAATTGTAACTTTATTAATCCATACAACGTTAACTGATTTCAAATGAAACACAAACAATTGCAACTATACAATACATTACATTTGTAATAACTTAAAAACCTAAGAAAGATTTCCTGTATTATATTTAAATTCCTATTATCAAAAATTAATCCAGCAATAAAAAACAAGCCTAGCAAAAATATCAATTCTTTTTACTAGTTCCAAACCCTGAAAACCCCATAATTGAAGTCACCTCACCATCTCTTTCCTCCTCCTCATCATCAAACGATTTTCTTTTCTTCCCCTTTCTTTTTTCCTTTTTATAAGCTTTTTGTTTTTCTTCCTGCAATTAATTAAGATTCATATGAAGTATATATTGATACAATTTTCAAATGAAATTTAAGCAGCGATGATGATTCGTTAGAGAATATTTCAGATGTGTGATTAATTGAAAAGTGACCAACCTCTTCCTTCAGCTCTTTAATTTTCTCTTCGAAGACGTAATGTTTCTCTTCTTCTTCTTTCTTTCTTTTATTTGTTTCGAAACGTTTCCTCACTTGATCCAAAGATGATCTTTCCACTTTCATCGACATGCCAAGATTTCTTTGATCTGATGTTTAATCAAATTTAAAAACTTAATTTTTTCAAATTTTTAACTTAATAACAATCGAAAAGACATTATTCCATTAATAAAATTAAAACAGATGATAGCAATGATGATGATCAAAACAATGATCATGGCTGTTAATAATGACAATGGTGAGGATATTGACCATATATTGTGATGATTGTGATAAAGATGGTGATGTGAAAAATTTAGGTTCTAACGTTTCTTTCCGTTGATGTGGTCCAAAAAATTGATGCTATCTTTTACTATGCAGTCACAAACATTGCAGTAATACCTGTACAAAATGCAGACAACTTTTTAATTTGATTCAAACATGTGCAAATAATTTTTTCCTTAACTTGCCAAAAACGTCTGTTATTAAGCTATTTTTAATAGCAAAATTAAATATATTTTAAAATTTAAAAAGTTTCCAATCAACCAAAAAAGCCCATCGAACTCAGTACTACCGAAACAAATTGTTAGCACATAGAAAATCTGAGTTGCAACAATTTTTAAAGCATTTAACAAAACATTGATGAAAAATCATTGCAATTTATATTCGATGTTAAATTTATTAATATTCAAAGCAGTAAAAAAACATATATTACCCGCCCATCTGTGAGGCTGGAGTCGTTTTTGTGATGACGTGTGACTTGCCCAATCTAGAATCCAAATCCACCTATAAATTGATTTTAAAATTTAAAATATTTTGTCATTAGAGAAATTGAAAAAATGATCATCACCTAGCTTACTTTATAATCTCTTGGTTTTAATAGCTCTCGCCTGACGGGTGCTTCTTTTCTTCTTTCTTTTTCATCATCTTCTTCTTCTGTTCTTTCTCGGGCCAAACGATCATATTCATCCAGATCCCATTTTCTTCTGTGGTCTTCCATGATTATCTGATTGAATTTTAAAAATTATTTCAATCATGATTTATTTTTATATACTTTATAAACACAGATTTGATATATAATAATAAAAATAAACAGTTAAAATTAGGTAGTCTGCATGATATTAAAAAGTAAATAATTAATTATTGAATTAACAATAGCCTGATTTTTAATCTCAAATAAAATTTTCATTTAATTTTTGTTTAAATATCATTATCTAGCACTAGCTAGCTAGAATTAGCTAGCACTAGCTAGATGCTTGGTGGATAGGAGAGGATAGGATAGTATTAGAGTAGAGCAGAGACTCACTGTCCATTTGGTTTTTACTTTTGTGGCAACATTTCAAATTCTCTCTAAATTCTAGCACTAGCTAGTAATTAATAGATTAGCAATTAATTTAATAATATAATTGCTCAATAAATAAATATATATGGAGTCTAAAGAAGTCCAAATTATAAATAATTAATAAATAAAATGAAATAAAATTAATTTCCATTAAAATTTAAAATTGAATATTAATTTATTTTATTTTTATTTAGTTTAGTTTTTTAGTATAGTAAAGTTGAAATGTCAAAGCAAAGTTCCCGACTTACTTTCCTCTCCACACTCAGAAAGTGTCTCCGCACTGAACACACTAATGTGCCTTACAACAGAACACAACAGAAATGTGTCTTACTGACGCTCGCTGTACTTAATTTTTAATGTTTAAAACAAAAAAGGGACGATAATTTCAATCAAAAGGTAAGCATCAAAATATAAACATTGAAAAGCAAAACCATAGACATTAAATATCGTTGCGGACATACATATATATACATACATATATATTCTAAATTTATGGTTGTATAATTTTTAGTCATATACATGGATATATATAATATATGGCAAGTCTCATATGTAGAAATATATATTCATACACCGGTTAAAATAAATTCTTGCAAAAAATCTTGATCCATAGAACCAAAAACGTCAATGAAAAATTAATTTTAAAAAACATTTAGCTTTTTGTCTGTTAAGAATATCGTCTAATTTTTGATTTATCGTTATAGCTTTCGTAGTTGAGTTATTACCAAATAAGAATTTCGCTTTAAAAAACTAGCAACATAAGTTGGTAATGTTTGATTGCTAACGTTGCTGGCGTCTTTCAGTTGCGTTGGGCTTTTTTGATACTAATTCCCAAAATTACAAGTTGCACTGTTATCCCTCAATCTGCTCTGCAATGGATATTCTGATGTTCAATCACAATCATTCATTCATATTAATTTGTCTTTACGGTTTATTTTATTATTGTTATATATAAACGTGATATGTAAATTCATGAGAATGTATACCAAATGTATGACTGCTAATAATTGCTGACAATCATACATTTGAGTACCTTTTTTTGAATATATAATCGTCTGAAGCTGAACCAAATTTTCATGTTGTCTCTTGAATTTGCATTGTATATATAAAAAATGGGAAAATGTCTGCTTTCAATTTTAATAATTTCTAGTTATTGATAAAAGCGGTAAAACGTGAGATCGGTACTCCTATGGTATTGTCCATATTTACAAACAATCATAATGTACTTTTAATAATTTAACTCCGCCCATTTGAATTATCTAGCGCTTGATTATTTATTTATATCAAATTGAAAATAATTTAATTAGGTAAGTTTTTTAGATCATTACTTGTCAAATAGTTGTAATGAGTAAATTTCTGTTTTGATAACAATCAGTGGTTTATGGAGTGGTTAACATGGTTAGGGTTAGGGCCT